TGGGGACTTAGAGGTACCCCAAGATATGTGAAAGGAAAGCTCCCTTCTTTGTCATTACCAATGCTGAACACTGCCTTCCTAATATCCTCTTGAGAAACCGGAGCAAGGAGAAGGCCATGAGAACTAGCTGGGAGACATGGACCACTGTGGATGACTGCACTGTCGAGCGGAAGAATGGTCCTGGATGAGCCAAGCAGCCGCTGGTAAAAACTCACAAATTCATTACCAACTTCATGTAATGATGTGCTAAGACTTCCATGGCTGCACATAATGGCTGGAATAAAGTTCCTTCGGTGGTTCTGGCCTAGAAGAGCATGGAAGAATTTGGATCCTTTGTCACTGTGCTTAAGAAAGTTGCATTTTATCTTTTGGCTAAAGAACTGCTTTTCCGCAAACTTTATAGTAAGAAGCTTGGAGCGAAGAATCCTGTCTTGAGCCAATAAGGTTTGGTTGTCCATGTCTTGCTGCAATTCGAATTGATGATGCTCCAACTCAGATTCCAGCCGCAATACCCGCTCTGAGATGTGACTATAGTGAAGACGATTCAGCTCCTTTAAATACCCTTTCAGAAGCTTAAGCCTGCGGCACAAAATGAACATAGGAGTGCCATATACTGGAGAGAGCCAGTGGGAAGAGACCACCTCAGAAAATCTATCATGTGAAGCCCACATGTTAAGGAATTTAAAGTTCCGCTTACCCTGAACATATGGATCCAGCCTAACTGCTGCAGGGGAGTGATCAGAGAATGCACCCGCAGGTTCAAAGTGCACATGAGTAGAGCGTTGCAGAGATGACCATGAGGGATTAATTAGGACCCTGTCGAGCTTACTCCAAGCTGTGCCGTTTGTCCAACTGTAGTGACATCCAGTGTAGTTTACATCACGAAGACCCAGGTCAAAGCAACAATCTCGAAAGTCAGAGACTTCATAGGATGAGATAGCCTCACCATTGTGTTTGTCAGCAGAGGAAAAGAGGGAGTTGAAGTCTCCAAGGACCAGCCAAGGGTGATTGGAGTTCCAGCGCCTTAAATCCGTCCATAGAGGACGTCTTGCAGTGATGGTATTAAAACCATAAACAAAAGTAGCCATGAAGCTAACCTGGGATATTAAGCAGGTGACTGAAATATGAATAGCTTGCGCAGAGGAGGCAAGCAAAGCAACCTGAACAGTATCCGGATTCCAAAAAACAACAATTCTAGCCGTGTGGGCTATATCTGCATTTGAAAGATACTGCCAATGCTTCAGCCGAAATTTATGCATGGAAGCAACTCTGGACGGGAGCATTTTGGTTTCAAGCAAGCCACAAACATCAATCTTATTCTTCTTCATGAGGCTAACTACCTCATGCTGCTTCAGGGGATTGTTCAGTCCCCTGATATTCCAGCTATAGATTATCATCGTTTTGCAGGTGAAGGGAATTCCCTTCCACTACGAATACGCTGTTTTTGGTTACGAGTCCTGACTCCACACTGGTCAGCCACATTAATTAAAGGAGCCTTCACCGAATTCCCAACCACAACAATATCACCAGTAGTAGTTGCCGATGGTGAGAAGCTGTGAGCCTCACCATCACAAGAATGCACTATCAGCGGAGCAATGGGGGGGTGCTGGACAGCACCTATGCAAACGGGAGGAACATTTACAGGATTACTAACCAAAACCATATCTCCTGCAGTGGTTGCCACAATATGTGTTCTGGTGGGGGAGGAAGCCGCACCATCACTATAATTCACTTCCAGCGGGGCAATACAATAAGTCACTTCCAGCGGTGCAGAGGGAGTAGTGGAAGGACGCTGAACTTGTCCAACACAAGAGGCTGTCACCGATGGGTCTGTTTGAGAGGAGGTTTGAACGGCTCCTGTGCAAGCATGAAGAGAGGGTGGAGCCGGGGAATCAACCACAGCCTTCCCCTTTTGCTGCTTGCTAGATTTGCGAGAGACAACTGTAACCCAACCAGCAGAATTGTCAAGAGCTGCGTCTGGTCTAGTGGTGTCCTCAGGAGCTTCTTGAATACTATTGAGATGGCCTTGCACCGTTGGAGGAAAAATATGGGGAATGCCTTCAGAAGCCTCTTGAATGTTATTGTCTTGGGGATGGCCTTGCACCATTGGAGGAGGAGGAGGCTGGGGACCCAACCTGCCAAAAACAGTACCTTTATCTACGCCAGCCTGAGGTTGGGGCTGAGGGCAAGGCACCTTGCTGGTAGTGGCAGCAGCCTTGGAACAACGGAGACGAGTGTGGCCAAGGACATGGCAGAAGTTGCAATACTTGGGCAGAGTCTCGTATACAATTTTTTGCAGCAAAGTGGACCCTTCAGGCAAAGAAATCTTCACATTATGACGAAGTTCCTCAAGGAGATCAATTTCCACTAGTACTCTGGCATAGGACATACGGCCTAAATTTGAAGTAAGCTGATCACATTGGATGGGTTTTCCAATAACACTAGCTATTTTTGATAGACAAACTGGGGACCAACAACACAATGGAAGACTTGGAAATTT